TAATATCATCAGTCTGTACCATTCCACTTGCAGGACGTACATAACTGCATTATTCTATTTTTATCTTGCCATTACTCACGTCCTTGTCTTCTTGATGTTTTATTTTACTCTTTTATTTTACAATATGTAACCTTCTCTGTCTACCTTTCGTCCTGTATTTTATATATATGGCTTGCTTATTGCTATTTCTTATATATTCTACTTTGGTCTGTTCCTTTATACATGCTTTTTCTGTTGGTGAATTCCCAGCATCATCCATTCCATGCCATTCCAAGCAATTCCCAGTACCTGTTATATATATTTTTTTTTTCCTCGGGTGATATTAGAGGTTAAAGATTTTCCCACTTAGACACGGGGACAAGGGATTTCGTATTATGTCATTATATACATCGAAGGTGCTAAGGCCTAGATTGTGTTCAATTTCACTGAATGTGTTTGTCTGTGCGAACTGTTTTTGATATGGTACTATTCATATACTGTCTGTAGTTACATCTTTTTAGCACCTGTATTCCACTGTTAAACATTACTTTACGGTTTTTCTCTAGATCATTGAGCAGACAAACAAAGAGACATCCACAGATACAAACACAAAGCCAAATAGAGTTAAATAGATAAGCAGACATATAGATAAATAGTTACAATTCGCCTTGCATTAGACTCTACCGCAAGTTGTCTGTTGCAGGTGTGTCCGCGTTAAGGAACCGAGCCAAGCAACGGAACAACGCTGATCTAGGTCTCTCAGGCACGTACTCTGTGTGGGATGAAGTTGCGTTGAGAAAAAACTGTAGCGTGTAATCATGTCCCTATTTTCGTGTATCTATTTTTCTTTTTGTCGTTGTTGTTGTTTTTGTTTTCGTATGTATGTTGATTTTTTTTTCTCTATTTAATTTTTTGTTTCTTCGTGCATCCATTTTTCTTTTTTTCTTCTTCATTTTTCTCTCCTGTTAGATTAACTGTCGTAATATGTCTGCCTCCAAGTTTTCTTTAATCTTCTTTCTTTGTGTTCTTCATTTTATTCTTCCTGTCTATCTTTGCTCTTCCTTCTCCTATCAAGTTTCCTGAGATAAATATTATGATTATTCCGACTCCTTTTATTTATCTATTGTTATTTTAACCCTTCAGGGCCTTGAAGGCACGTAGCTTGGTCCTTCTGCATAGGTACCGGCATCTCCAAATACTCTTGTCGAGAGATTTCATGACCCCTGCTGCCAGGCCAATCTGTCTACCGACTTCCTGGTCTGACAGCCCAGAGTCATGAACTGCATTACCGAGGTATATAAAGCTCTCTGTGACCTCGATGTTTTCACCACAAGCACATACCGAGTGCACAGGGTCTCCTAGTAGGCCCCCCAAATCCTGGATTTTGGTCTTGGTAGATGAGACCTCAAGCCCCAGGGGCTTCGCTTCATTGCTAAATGCATCAAGAGCCGCCACTATGGTTTTCAGAGATTCAGATAGAATAGCAACATTATCAGCAAAGTCAAGGTCTGTAACCTTGATATTGCCCAGAGTTGCTCCACAGTGACTTTGGACAGTAGCTCTACCCAGTATCCAGTCCATGTAAGTGTTGAAAAGTGTTGGTGCAAGAACACAGTCTTGCCTCACGCCTGAACTAACAAGAAGAAGCTCGACAGGCTCCCACCACACTTTACCGCACTTTCAGTGCCTGTATACAGGTTTGCTATTAATCCAATAATCGTTATTGGAATTCTTGGACTAGAGATGGACTTTGCCCCTCCCTGGCGGCTCGCCATGAGGGACCCTCGTAGGTGGAAGCGAAGGGTGGATGTAGCTATGCGCCCCACGCGGCGTTAGCTCCCCAATGATGATGATGACGATAACCCTTCCTATTTTCGATTTTCATCACATCGTGTTCTTCCTTTTCTCTTCCTCTTTTTTCTCTTCCTCCTCCTCTTTTACCTCCTAATACTTCTATTTTCCTCTTCCTCTTCGCTGTCTCGAGCCCGTCTTCTTCTTCTTCTCTTCCTATTCTTCTCAGCTCCCCCTCCTCTCCTCCTATTCCTCCTCCCCTCTTCCCCTTCCCCTCTTCCCCTTCCCTTTCTCACCCTCCGCCCTCCAACAGACCTGGGGTGCGACCGCGAGGACGCCGTCTCGAGCACGGTGGCGGCGGTGGCGGCGCAGCTGCAAAAGGTCTTCAAGATCGAGGAACTGCGAGCCGACTTCGGGACGCGAATCGCAGCGCTGGAGAAGAGGCTGGAAAGTAAGGATCTGAGGGGAACCGTTTGCGGGGGTTGTGTGTATGTTTTCTTTCTTTCTTTATTTATTTTTTCTTTCCTTCTTTACTTTCTTTTTCTTTCATTTTCTTTCTTTCATTTTCTTTCTTTCATTTTCTTTCTTTCATTTTCTTTCTTTCATTTTCTTTCTTTCATTTTCTTTCTTCTTTTTCTCTTTTTCTTTCTTCCTTTTTCTTTCTTCCTTTTTCTTTCTTCTTTTCTTTCTTTTTGTTTCTTTTGTTTTTTTAGGAAGGGAGTTTTTTTTCTTTGGGGGGGGGGGGGGTTGTGTTCGTTGTTTTTCTTGGGATTCACTTGGTTGTTTTAAGGGATTTTAGGATTTTTTTTTTTTTTTTTTTTTTTTGTCTGATTTTATGGTTGTTTTAGGGATTGTAAGGAATTGAACTGTAATTTTCTTTTTTATTTAGGGATTTTAAGCTGATTTGAGGGATTAGGTTGTTTTAATTATTTGCTCTTACGGGATTTTAGTATTGTGTTTAGGGATTATAGTTCTTTTAAAGGATTTTAGTTTTTTTGGGGTATTGTAGTTTTTTTGTTTTGTTTTGTTTTGTTTTGGGGGGGTAGGGTTGCTGTTTTTTCAGGGATTTTAGATGGTTGTTTTTTTAGGGGTTTTATGACAGATATTTTTTAGATATTATTTTTAGGGGGAGGATTTTATGGCCGTTGTTGGAGATTTTAGGGTTGATTCATAGTTTTTTTTAAGGGATTTTAGGGTTGTTTTTAGGGATTTTATGTTTTGGGGATTTTACGCTTATATAGGGATTTTAGGGTTGTTTTTAGGGATTTTATGTTTTGGGGATTTTACGCTTTTTTAGGGATTTTAGGGTTGTTTTTAGGGATTTTATGTTTTGGGGATTTTACGCTTTTTTAGGGATTTTATGGTCGTTTTGGGGGATTATCTGCTTTTTGGGGGATTTCATGAGTGTGTTTATAAGGATTTTAGGCTTATTTTCTTCGGGGGATTTTTATAGCCGTTTTTAACCCATTGCCGCCGGGGAAAATGAACAAAAAATGGGGAGAATACTGTACTCATTTTTTTCTTTTTGTGAAATATGTCTGTCCATAGATGGCTCTACTAGTCCTGATTTCACCTTTCCTTGAATTGGCGGGAAAAAACGTATTCTTACTAGTGCTATAAATATAGATGGTGTTATTTTTAACAGCAAATTAGAATAACGTTAAATATTTTCGTAAATCGATGAAAAGGGTGAACGGGCGAGACAGGCACTTCTCGTAATTGGCTCATTGGATACTTAGTGCAAGTGTAGCCATCTATGTGTAAAAACAATCAAACAAGTCGACTCACAGTGGGCATGGCATGACCGTACATGCCATCCCCGGCGGCAATGGGTTAACCCCTTGGTGCCGGGTATGACGTGTACGTACGTGCTATGCCCACAGTGAGTACTTGTTTGATTGTTTTTACGCATAGATGGCAACACTTGTACTAACTCCCCAATGAGCTAGTTACGAGCACCACTCGTCTCGCCCGTTTACCCGTTTCTTTGATTTACGAAATATTTTACGTAATCTTATTTTGCTGTTACTAATGTTAAAAAATATATAAAAATTATAATGTTTGTGATCAAAATAACACCATCGATTTTCATAGCACTAGTGAAAAATACGCTTTTCCCGCCATTTAAATCAGGCGCTAGCAGAGCCATCTATCGGCAGACATTTCACGAAAAACATAGAAAGTGGGCGCAATATTTTCCCCATTTTTTGTTCATTTTCCCCGGCACCATTGGGTTAAGAGTGTTATGGTTGTTTTAACTTCTTTGTGGTTGTTTTTTTTGCGGATTTTTTTAGTGGTAAGGATTTTTTTTTTTTTTTTTTTTGTGGTTTGAATCTAGTCATAACTTTCTTTGTTTTTCCTCATATTATAAAGCTGCCCCTTACCCCCTGTACCCCACCCTTTGCCCTCTACTCTTCTCTTCCCTTTCCCCTTTCCCCTACCTCTCCCCTCTCCTTTCTTCCCTCTCCTATCCTCTCGCCTCCCCTCCCCTCCCCTCCCCTCCCCTCCCCTCACCCCTTCCCACCCGTCTCCTCTCCTCTCCCCTCCTCTACCCTCTCCCCTCCCCTCCCCTCCCCTCTCCTCCCCTTTCCCCCTTCCCTATCCTCTCCTATCCTCCCCTCCCCTCCCTTCCTCTCCGCTCTCCTTTCTTCCCTCTCCTCTCCCCTTCTCTCCCCCCTCCCCTCTCTTCTCCTCTCCTCTCCCCTCCTCTACCCTCCTCTCCCCTCCTCTCCCCTCCCCTCTCCTCTTCCCATCCGTCTCCTCTTCTCTCCCCTCCTCTCTCCTCTCCTCTCCCCTCTCCTCCCCTTTCCCCCTTCCCTATCCTTCCTCACCCCTCTCCTTTTTTCCCTCCCCTCTACCCTCCTATCCCCTCCTCTCCCCTCCCCTCCCCTCCCCTCCCCTCCCCTCCCTTCATCTCCCCTCCATTCCTCTCCCCTCCTTTTCTCCCTCCCCTCCCCTCCTCTCCTCTCTCCCCTCCCCTCCTCTCCCTTCCCCCTCCCTTCCTCTCCCCTCTCCTTTCTTCCCTCCCATCTCCCCTCCCCTTCCCTCCCCCCCCCTCCCCTCCCCTCCCCTCCCTTCCTCTCCCCTTCCACCCTCCCCTCCCCTTCCCTATCTTCCCCTACGCATACCTACACAAGTACCTACGTATGCGAACTTTGTGTATACCTACGTGTGCATACTTTTGTTAATGCGTATATGTACGTACGTATCCATGTACTACGTGTGTGTTAATGTGGAGTCCCTTGCCCTGGCCTCGTGCGGGAGACAGCAAGCGCGTGATCGAGATCGAGAAGTTCAAATACGAGATCGCAGACATTCGAGACGCCTTCCTCACGCACCAGAAGACGCGCCATGTTGACTTCACGAGACTCAGGTGAGAGCCTTTTTATTTATTGTTATTATTATTATTATTGTTATTATTATTATTATTGTTATTATTATTATTATTATTATTATTATTATTATTATTATTATTATTATTATTATTATTATTATTATTATCGTCATCATTGTTATTGTCAGTATCAGTATAATTCATTTATATATATATATATATATATATATATATATATATATATATATATATATATATATATATACATACACATATATATATACATATACATATATATGTGTATATATACATATACATATATACATATATATACACACACATATATATATACGTATATACATATAAATATGTGTGTGAGTGTGTGTGAATATGTACATGTGTGTATATGTATATATATGAGGTCGTTAAGATCATAGATAGATATCCTTATCCAATACACATAGATGTATGTCTCTGATTCACTGCATGACTTCCCCATTGCATAATGTTGAATTTGTAATGTAAAGGCTGAAAAGTGAATACATGTATCTTGAATGTATTGTAATAGTGTGTTATCTACTTATTACAGTTTGTTCTGTTTTTATTGACATACAGTTTTATCAAATCGTGAGTTTGTCAGTATATTTATGCATAGTGCTTGTGCTTGTAATAAAGTACTGATATATATATATATGTGTGTGTGCAACTGTATCAAAACTCTTCTGTTGCAATAAAACACCTATGTGTCTTAATGAAATGATGTTGTGTATATATGTGTATAGTAGTTTTATCGTCAACTTTTTTTTTTTGTTGCATTTATTCACTAACTATTTGTGTTATAATAAAAGTCTATTACAATATATGTGTACAAGTTCTATTAGACTACCTGTTGATAATAAATGTGTGGTGTAGAGTTGTTTTAGAATACATGTTATGGTAAAACTCTGTTGTGTATTTGTGCATAATGGTACTGTACAATAAAGCACTAGTGTATATATGTGTGTATAATTGTATTATATCCTGTTAATGTAAGAATTTCTTCTCTATATTTTAAGACTACTGAGGTGGGAACAATAAATAAATGAATAGGTAAAATCCATGAAACATTATGAAATTTGTTTTTCACAAATCACTTTTTTTCAATAATATTACGTTTATGTGTGGTATCGTATTATAGAAAGTTTTAAAATTCGAAAAATTGTCACTTTTTCCTATTTTCTTCACACAAGAATAAGAAAAAAAGAACAAGTAAACAGAAAAAATAGACGTTGGTTAAAAGAACTAGATAGAGAAAATAAAGAAGGAAAAAGAGGAAAAAATATATATATGACAAAGGAGAAGTAAACAAGATATAAGAATGAAAAAAATAAGGAGAAAAGAAAATTGAGTAAAAATATGGGAAACCATACATATATATATATATATATATATAT